AATTTACTTAACGTAAACTAATTAGTTATTCTTAGTTTAGTTGTTAGTGTACTATGTCTTATTAGTACTAACTAAAAGTAAAAAGTAATTACTTGTCTCTATATATATATATATATATATATATATATATATATATATATTACTTTTTTAGGGAGGACCTAGCACGTATTTATACAGCTGAGATTGTCTCCGCGGTTGCCCACCTCCATGCGAATGGTATCATGCACAGGGATCTCAAGCCGGAGAATATTCTTCTGGATGAAGATGGCCATGTGAGTTTCCAATTCTACCTTGTTCAAAACATTGACGTGAATGCTCACTTTATAAAGTTGTCCTTCTTCCTCTCCTTCACATGCACAAACGTCAACACCAACTTACCCTTTCTCTCTTTCATTTGGCTTATTTTTCGTGCTCTTCTCTCTCTCTCACAGAGGGATGTGCCAGAGCACTTAATTATGGAATGGCACCTGTGGCTTTGGATATGATCTCTCTTATTTGCCCGCCTTTTACAAAGCCTCCTTCAAAAAATTAGCCTACCAGATTCACTAATATTTGCACAGCCTGTAGAGCACATGGAAACATGGGATACTGATGTATGAGGGGACTCAGATACCTCTCTTTCTCTATCTCATCTGTTTGCACAATGTTCTTCAATTCCTCTCAATGTATCTCTTTCACACACACAAACATGAATGCTGGTTTTTATGAATATGTAAGTGCATACCTAGCTCGTCTTTAGGATGAGTTGGGTTTTGACTACAGAATCTAAAGGTCGAAATGAAGTCCATCGTCTATTTGTCTATAGGTATAGAATTGTGACCTGGGTCTTTGATCCATGGCCTATTTGTCCATCGGTAAAATTGTGACCTGGGCTTTGAATGCACAATCTAGAGAGTATGAAATGAAGAGTCCATAGTCCATTTCTTGTATCAGTGAAATTTAAGGTTTGCGTCTTCGAATGCACAATCTAGAGGTCAGAATGAGAAGTCCATAATCTTTTTATCTGTTGCTATAACATGTGATTCGAGGTCCTATAATTCTTCCATACGCTGCAGGTGATCTAGTTCGTAAATTTCTCATCATTTGGTCCTTGAATACAAATCTAGGGCTGAGATAACAAGTCCGTAGTCAATAGTTCTCTATAAATTTCATTATACTTGTCCTTCTGATCTTGATAGGTGATGCTGACTGACTTTGGACTGGCAAAGCAATTTGAGGAGAATACGAGATCCAACTCCTTGTGTGGCACTGTGGAGTACATGTCTCCTGAAATTATTTTTGGGAAAGGACACGATAAAGCAGCAGATTGGTGGAGTGTCGGTATTCTATTGTATGAAATGCTTACTGGGAAGGTAAGTAGTCTCATCTATAGTTACTTCTTCATTTCATTTCTCCATTGAGTCTGACCTTTTGATAGTTCTCTTTTTCTTTACCTGAACAAAGAGTAGAGCCTTTGAAGTTCCTACTTGTGATACCATTTGGGATTAGGTTTTCTCTTGACTAGAGTTTGCACCTCATTTTATATCATATATCCACACAAGTATTTGCTACTCTCTCTCTCTCTCTCTCTCTCTCTCTCTTTCGCATGCGCGTGATGTCTTAAATACCCAACATCAAGAGGTTACTACTCTCTCTCATGCAGAGTCTTGCACCAAATTTATCTTAAATACCCAACATCAAAAAGTTGCTACTCTCTCTCTCTCTCATGCTAGGTCCTGCACCACCTTTTATCTTAAATGCCCAACATCGGGAAGTTGCTATGCTCTCTCTCTCATGCTATGTCTTACACCACAGTTTCTCTTAGATAATACCCACATGTCTCTCTCTCTCTCTCTCTCTCTCTCTATTTATATCAGCTAACTTAGAGCTGTTTTTTTTTTATTTAAATGTATAGCCTCCATTTATGAGTGGTAATCGCGAGAAGATCCAACAGAAAATAATCAAGGATAAGATCAAGCTGCCCAGATTTCTCACCAGCGAGGCACATTCCCTTTTGAAAGGGGTAATCATTCTCTCCATTCTTTCATCTACGAAGGAGAATGTAGCATGTGTATCGTATATGTTGCATACTTATTGGTAATTTGGTATACTACATGCCATCTCCACCATCCATTACTCTCGTAACAGAAAAAAATGGAGTTGGAGATGACATTTATGCTGCATACTCTCCAATATACAAGCTATTTATCCTATTACATTAAACAGGCCATGTTTGGTATAGTTTCTCAACCATAGTAGTAAAAAGTATAATCAAAGGATTTGATTTATTTTTATGTTAAAAAAGGATTTGATTTATTTTTAATTGTGATTTTGTTTGTTTTAAATTGTAGCTGCTGCAAAAGGATGTAAGCAAGAGGCTAGGGAGCGGGCCTGGGGGTAGCAATAAAATAAAGGGCCACAAATGGTTCAGAACTATCAACTGGAAGAAGCTCGAGGCAAGGGAGATCCCGCCTCCTTCCAGGCCCAAGGTCGAGGGTAAGCTCTGTGTTGCGAATTTCGATGAGAAATGGACAAAAATGTCCCTCCTCGACTCGCCAGTTGCGAGCCCGAAGGCTGGAGAGAATATTTTCGTAGGGTTTACTTACGAGAGGCCAAGTCCCTATCTCCAAAGGGGTGGATCCTTGTTGGTTGAAAATTAGTCGACTTCTATTCTGTTATATTTTTATTTTTACTTTTAAATTTGTGGATGGTTAACCTGGGTTGAGGACTCTGGATTCTTATATGTATTGAAAGATTATTGGAACCTGGGATTTGGCAAAAGGATGTTTGCTTGCATGGACAAGCCTGCTATGTGTTAGTAGTTTAATTTCTTTTCTTATTAAGGTAATTTTTGTGATATTATTGGTTTTGTTAGAGTGGGAGAGAGAGATTTTTCAAGCAATTTTTCCCTAGTCGTGGTGATTGATTGAGAAAGTATTTTAGAGAGAGAAAGGGAGGGAGGGGGGAACTAGTGGAATGTCATCATCATGGTTTTTCCCTAACTAATTAAGGTTGACTAAACAAATCCTAATATGTCATTTTAATTTATTAAATGCACTACTTTTAGTGAGGTCATAAGCCTTCATATTTTTCTTACTACTTTCAACCGGTCTTTTTGGGTCTGCCCCTGCCCCATATCTAGTGGAATGTAATTAAGAGATATAATTAGTGAAATGTAATTTCATGGGAGGGAAAGGTTATTTAATTAAATGAGAAGATAGTGAAACTTCCAAATGCAGCAATTCTTTTAGCTGGTGGTAGGACATGTTTTGGTTTGAGGTCGCATTGAAAAGTCTACAAACTGATTTCTTATGAGGGCGTATTGAAAAGTCTACAAAGTGATTTCTTATGGGAGAGATTTTGGCAATGTGGGGGTTTTATGAGATTTCACAGTATATTCCTAAGGTGAGGGAGATTTTTTATTTGATGTAGGATGGGTTTCTATGTGTTGGCCCTCCTCTAAAATCCACCTTAAAGATGGATTTTTGATGCAAAATTCTTGGGATTCATGATCTAATCCAAGCTGATTATGAAAATGAAAAATATAAATTTTTTTGAACTTTAAAATGTACTCTTTTGGGGGATGCTTTTAGCGACGTCCATATATATTTTTTGATCGTGCACGCCTCACCCACTGACTCAGAGAAAACTTCTGCTTTGATGTATGGGCTATAGTAGGGAGAGGTCTTCCAAATATTGAGAGGAGGAGAGACCTTTGGTTTCAGTTTACGTTCTTTCCTGTAAAGAAATTTTCTGAAACTTTCAAGTGGATCAATGATTTTCATATTTAGTTTTGGTTCTGCTCCTTTGAAATCTGGTTCCCAAAAATACTCCATCAATGCTATTTTATGGGAAGCACATGTATGCCTGAAGAGGTATTAATCAACTCTCTTTTTTGTGATATACAATTCAATGCATGAAACCTCAAGCTAGAATTTACAAAACAAATAATCCCCAAGTATTGAGCTTTTGATCTTGTTTCACAACTACTTACGGTCTAAATATAATAACATATCATGTCATTATTTTGATATGATGCCATTTATATGTGGTATAAGATCACCAATACTTCTAGCTTTCATAAGTGAAATATGACAAATAATCTCTCGAGAAAAAATTTCCAAAATTTTGAATTAAGTTAGAGGTGCACCCTCTTCCACCTAATTCGCATCAAAGGAATAAAAGTATGAGGTTTGGGCTTGAGTGGTCAGCAGCGGACGATTTGCACAGTATCTCAAATTTGATTCCTACCGCTGAATTACTCCCTCCCCTCGAAAAAAAAAGACAATGGTTAACAAGATCTTCTTGTATGAAAAATAAACACTAAACAACCTTGTGGTATAGTCTCTCTTTCACGTATGGGTGTGGTTTGCATAAGGTCGAGGCCTTAAACAATTTTACGTATCAGTATGGGTGTGGTTTGTATAAGGTTGAGGCCTTTAACAAATTTACATATGGGTGTGGTTTGTATAAGGTTGAGGCTTTAAACAATCAAAGTAAGGTGCTGAAAATCTTTCTGATAGCTTCAAATTATATTTTCATCTCTAATTATAAAATTTAAAGCTTAAAAAATAGTGTAGATCAAATATCTATGAACACTTGAACATCTTGAAAATTGACGATCTAAAAAATACATTACAAAATGTACTACTTCCAAGACTTGAAATCTATTGTCTTTTGCCCATACATCTTGAAGTCATGATGATTCGTTTTGAAGATTTTTGAGTATCAAAAGAACCTGCTTCAGTGAATTTTGATGTGCACCTTAATTTGATTGCTAAGGGCCTCGCCCGTATATAAACTTTTTCATTTATGTATTATACACATGTTCAACAAAATTTATATAAGTACGAGGCTCTAAACAATCAAATTATATCGCACCTCAAAAATTTCTCTAGAAGAGGTTGTTTTGATGCCCAAATATCCTCAAATTTATCATATTGACCTCAAGTTTTAGAAATAAAATATCTTGTGATGCATTTTTCGACCGTCAATTTTAAAAATTTTAAAATTTTGTAGATCCGCCCAATCTACACTATTTTTAAAGCTTTTAAATTTGATAATTAGACATAATATATTTCAATGCTATCACAAAAATTTCCAATATTGAAACCACATTTTCCACCCTATTTGAAGTTAGAGCCTCAACCATGTTTGTGAAATATTTCTTGTTTTCCTAAGTCCCAAACTCTGTGGATGAAGAAATGATACTTCTTCTTTAACTGGCCCAAGTTCCCCTTCCATTGGTATCTCCTCTCTCCCTCTCTCTCTCTACCTCTCTTTCTCTCTCTACCCCTCTCTCTTCAGTTTCTCGTTACCCCAACTCGTGGATAAAGAAAAGATACGAGGATTCATACGTGGCCCAAGAGCCACCTCTGCTCGTTTCGTAATGAAACACTATATAACACCTCTCTCTCTCTCATGTTCAAAAAAAAAAGCTCCTGTCATGGCTTCCTACACTCACAGGGTTTGCCAACTACACACAAGCCCCCCACCATCTCTCCATCACAACTTTTCTCTCTCTACAATTTCTCTCTCCATGTCATGGCTCAACACATCAGAAGCACCCTCGAGCAAACACCCTACAAGTGCTTTTGAATCATTTTCTCTCTCTAGCTCATCCCGGCCAACAAAATGTAGTGCCTTTCTGGGTAATATCTCTGAAGAAATCGCGAATGACTTAGCATCAATTGGGTTTGAGAGTGAATCACTAATTGTTTCTCCATTAATTCAATCTGGATTATCTCTGGTTCAGGGTGTGGTGGACCTTCCAGAGGGAGAAAGATGGGCTTTTCTCTCTTTAGTCAGTTTTGCTTGGGTTTATTTGACTGCAAGACCAGGAGTGTTAATAGGTGCTTTTGATGCATATGTGTTGGCACCATTACAGCTTGGGCTTGATAGTATAGTAGGGAGAAGAGATCTTAGGAGGAGTGATTTTGTGTTAGGAGAGAGATTGGGGGAAGGGTCTTTTGGGGTTGTTTATTCTGGTGCTGTAGTCCCCAGGAATGTGAATGTGGAAGACAGGGCTGGGAAGAAGGTCAAGGATTTAGAGAGAGAAGAGAGATTCAAGAATTTGCAGAAGGTCATACTTAAGAAGGTGCAGTATTCAATGTCACTCTTACTGTTCTTATTTTCAGTTTCAGTTTTTTTTTTTTTTTTTGAATTTCAATAATCTTCGTTGGTGGATTGCATAGATCATTTTTTGAGAAAATGATTGCATAGATCATTCCTTCAATGGTTTTTTTCTATTATAATTCTTGATCAATAAATAATTTTGGTTCATCAATTTTCTTTCAGTGTACTTTTAATTGTTCTTTTGATTGCTATCCTGTTAGTTCATGATTAGTGATTAACTTGTTGATTGATATTCTTTTTAAGACATTTTGTTAGCATTTTCTTAGTTGCTGAATGCTGGTTGCCTGGTTCGTTTCGTTCATTGTTTGTTAGACTCAAAATATTTATTTCTTTGTTTGGTGATCTGTTAATTCTTGATCAATGATTTGGAGATCACCGCCGAGGCGAGTAACTTGGCTGAACCCCGGTGGATGAATGTGGCCGAGTTATGTACAACACAAAAAAGTGAAAAAAGTCAAAAGAAGGGTAAAACCTTTTTTAAAAAAGTTCTAAATGAGATAAAACAATAAAAGAGGTAATACTAACCATTAGAAGATTACAAAGATGAAAAAACTCTATAAAAGATGGAGTATTGAAAACTTTGATTTAGTAACTTGAACATTTCAGAAAATTATTTAAGTTCCCAAATCATCTTAAAAATTACCAAACTTATCAGAAAACTTAATTCTAACTTATATAGTGGTGTTTCCCTTTTTTTTTTTATACATTTTTTATTTTTTATACCTTTTTTATTTTTTAATATTTTTTAAAACTTTTATGTGTGTGTGGGGCAAGTTGCCGTGGAATTTGTCCCAACTTGCCCTCGTCCATGGGCCATGGCTGAGTTACTCGGCGTAGTCAGAGCGGACTCGGACGAGTCCCGTGACATTATTGTTGATTATTGTATAGTTTGGTTCAATTACATATTTGTCAATTTTAGTCTTTGCCAATTTTTTATTGATTTTCTAGTAGGTAAATAGACAACCGAAGGCACCAGATCATGCCCTTGTCAGTTCACAAATTTGGGAGTCTTCATGGCTGATTTTGAGAAATGGAGAGAGATCTCACCTCATTTGGAAGTACAATTTGAATTATAGCGCAGGCTATTGATACCTTGACTATAGTTGGTTTTATTTCTGAGTCATATTATGATACAAGTTCTAAAACTCAGGCGAGTCCGAGTCGACTCCCCCTAGTTACTCAGACAGGAATGGGCCAAACTCTGCCAGTTCCTATATTTAATATTATGATTTTTACATTCTTGGCCATGACTCTAACAGACTAGGCCCAGTGTGTGTGGACTACTTGGACTCAGGACCCAGCTGTCTCCAAATGCAAACCTTGTTTTTGAACATTGATTATGATATGAATAAGAAACAATCTATAGTGTTTACTATATATTCTCTTTTAGTTATTTTTATTTCCAAGTTTCTTTTATGACATCTATATTTAGATTTGCCTATCCACTAGTACAGGTCAAAACTGAGATCCAAGGGGCTAAAGAATGTGGTGATTTTGAAGAGTGGTTTAACTACAGGATTTCTAGAGCTGCTCCTGAAGCTTGTGCTGAGTTTCTTGGGAGTTTCATTGCTGACAAGAGCATCTCACAGTTCACAAAGGGTGGCAAATGGCTTGTTTGGAAGTTTGAGGTACGCATTACAATGAGTTCTGGATTTAATTCACCTTTGGAAAGACATTAACTAATTGAAATTGTCTCTAAAATTGCAGTTCTCATTAAATTTTGTTGACTAAGAGCCCTCAAAATGAAACTTATGTTGATGTTATATTCTTGTTATATCATTCTCATCTTTTCTTGATGTAATTTCAGCTCTAGAATTTAATCTCACTCTTCTAATACTAACCCTATAACACTGTGCTCCAGGGAGACCAGACTCTGGCTGACTCTATGAAAGATCGAAGCTTTCCTTTGAATTTGGAGTCTATTATGTTTGGGCAAGAGTTAAAAGGGCTAGACTCACTAGAGCGCTATGCTTTGATTATTAAACAAATAATGAGGCAAATTATTACATCTCTCAAGAAAATCCATGATACAGGTATTGTGCATCGAGATATTAAACCAGCCAACTTGGTGGTTACAAGAAAGGGGAAAATAAAGCTCATAGATTTTGGGGCGGCTACTGATCTTCGAATTGGCAAGAACTATGTACCCAATCGTGGGCTTCTCGACCCTGACTATTGCCCTCCAGAACTCTATGTTCTTCCTGAGGAGACCCCAAGCCCTCCTCCCGAACCTGTCGCAGCCATCCTTTCTCCAATTCTATGGCAGGCTTGTTCTTACTCTTCTTATTGCTGTTATCTCTTCATGCTTATGAGAAACTGATTTAGAAATAAAAACTCTATATTGGTTATGTAACAATTTCCTCTATATGATGGACTCCTAAACCCAACAAATTTGGACACTTGACACTCTTGGCCCTAAGCATACACCGTTCTTTTCATTGTGGGTTATGACATAAAAGATTAGGGGAATTTAACAATTCAAGTGCTATTGTCTGTGACCAATAACATAAGGGTGCGATTTCTATAAGGTTGCTACCCTAAGCAATCCATTTAAGGTGCACCTCCAACTTTTATTATAACATGTAATTTTGACGTAAAAAATTATTAAGATTATCTGAAAATCTATTTTCATATCTAATTATAAAATTTTAAACTCCAAAAATAATTAAAATCAAGTAGATCTATAAACATATGAAAATCTTGAAAATATAGACGGTCTAGATAATGTGTTGCAAGATGCACTATTTCTGGGACTCAAAATCTTTTTTTTTTTTTTCATATTCATACATCTCAATGTAATTAGAGGGTTTTTTCAAGATTAAAACAACCTTTTCCTATGGATTTTTGAGGTGCATCTTTAATCTACATTTTAAGGTTGCAACCTTATAAACTTTTCCCAGAACATAAAGTTCATGCAGTACAAAATGTTTGAGCACTAAGGTCTAAGGCAACTGGTGTCCAAAATATGTTGACTAGGATAAAAAACTCCATCATTTGCTAGATACAACTGTGTTTTCTGTTCTGGTTGTTTTAATTTGCCAAGAATTGATAAAGTTATCACCAACACCAAGAATTTAGGTTTACCTTCTGTCCATTATTTATGTGCAGAATTCGATGTGCTAATTCATGACATACAGCAATTTCCTTGTTGGGTGCAGTTAAATAGCCCAGATTTGTTTGATATGTACTCCACTGGGGTGGTTCTACTACAAATGGCTAGTCCTACCTTAAGATCAACATCTGGGTTGAAAAGGTTTAATTTGGAAATTAAATCTGTTGGATATGATTTGAGGAAATGGAGGGAATTTACTCGACTTAGGCCAGATTTGAGCATACTTGATCTTGACTCTGGTAGAGGTTGGGACTTGGCCACAAAGCTTATATCAGAAAGAGGATTTCTTAGAAGAGGGCGGTTATCAGCTGCTGCTGCTTTACGGCATCCCTATTTCTTGTTGGGAAGCGACCAGGCAGTTACTATTCTTTCAAAGTTGAGCATGACCAAGTAACAAGTTTCCAAAGGCAGGTAAAATGCATGTATTAAACACCAAATGGTACTGATTCTGGTCGTCTCTACCCTTTACGTTATTTTTAAACCTTCAAAGGAGTTATTGTACATTCCTCATATTTACAAAATGATGTAAATGTATAATCATTATTTAATAGTCATCAAAAGTATTATTCATTTTTTTGGGTATTAGTTTTTTAGTTAGTTGTTTGTTGATAATCTTGTTTTATGTCCTTTGGGTATTTATTCAGCAAATATATCATTCTTTCCCTAAATTTTAGCTGGTATAGGAGTCACAGAGATTGCATGGCTCATGCGTTATTAAAAGGTGTGGAATGTCAGCTTGCTTTGGTTTATGGGACAAACTTCAAGGGCTCAAATCCTTGACCTTCCTAAAACAATGGCCTGTGCATTTATCATTGACCTGCTCTGCTAGTTATGGTTGCTACTTTATTGTTAATTTTAGAAGATCTGATTCCCAAACTTCCCTATCATAATCCTTAATTTCTTGTCCAATTCATATGCGACATCACAGAGTTCTGCTGATCATGTGCCGATAATGGTTGTTAACTAGCCCAATCTTTGATTTGTGACTTCCTGATTAGTTTTATTGTTTTTGTTTTCTCATCTAATTTTAGCCTCCCATCTTTCTTTTTGTTTAATTAATTCTGCCTGTTAAATCATCTACATGAGTGGTTTCCTTCATTTTATTGTTCTCTTTTAATTTTTCCTCTGATGGTTTTAATGAATTTGCCCCACGAGTATTCTAGAGTGGTGGTAGCCTCAGACATAGTATCAGAAAGAAGGTCAATTAATAGATACTCGTAATCCACTAGAGAACTTTTTACAAAACATACAAAAAATATCTCATGTATTTTTAACATGTGGTTTTTATTTCAGTATTATAATTTGAAATAGGATTTTGTTTATGCCATGATGTCGTCTGTGTTGTAGTCCTATTTGAAGTTACTCTTTACCAATTATATTTTTTAAAAAGGCAGCCAATCCCAGCACACTATTAGAAGCGTGATCTGAGCCAGTTGTAGCACTATTAGAAACATGATCCTAATCGAACCTAAATCTCTATTATGATTCTTTAAAAAAGAGCAAGCCTTTATGGACTTCGATGCCATGCTCTTTGAATTGCCTTTTTAAATTTTTATTTTTATTTAATTTGCTAACATTCACATTGTACTGCAACATCAGGGAAAAATTACAAGTCTAAACATCAAGCATACACGTGGATAGAGAGTGACAGGGATTTTGAACTATGGGAGTACATTTGAACTATGGGAGACAATCGTCTCCAGCCTGGTTTTCAAACAACACAAATCGAAATCCATGAATATTTAATCTAGTCCATAAGTCACAGATTTGTGCACCTAGAATATTAAGATTTGATTGTGGTATTACGATTCCAAGAAAATCAAATCGAGATTCTATGAGGGTGGAAGCAAGATTTGAGGTTTGATTAGTTTGTTACTTCTTGTATCTATGAACCGTGACACTTAATGTTCAGTAATCTGGATTCGAAAACAATCGAATCAAGTATTATATGTAGTATCCAAATTCAACAAATATATAATGGAGATTCAACAATTTTGGAATCGAGAATCAATAAATATTAGAAACGAGGTTTTATAAGTGTCGGAATCGAGATTCCTAAAATAAGGAATTGAGATTCGTGACTTCACGGAAATGCATTATGCAAAGATTCCTTCCGGGAATCGTGGAATCAGTATTCCAAATCGGAAACGCAACCTTGGGTGAGAGATCCTGGTATCTATGATTTGAATGGAAGAGAGAAAGAAAACTATTGGGCCTCTCGACTTTGATCTTGCAACTGCTTATTGACCCAATAGCTATTAACCTTGTTATTTTATGTAAACTTATTTTCGATTTTGGTACAGTAGCTTAGGTAATGGATCAAGAAATAGACACACATACTGTTAATGTTCAAACTTCACAAAACTTCATGCACTACATCATAAAATCTAACCTAGTTCCAAACCCAAACAATAAGTACAAGACTGACTCTTATTTAATCAAATACACTCTGCATCTGCACTTTCCAACCCATTTCCAGTGCTAACCCACTAAATAACTTGACCCCTTTCTTATCTCATAACTAAACAACAAGAACCAGAAGAAATATGTCCACCTTATATGGCCTAACGCACTAGTCCTCGGCATACAGGAGGCTTAAACATTGTTGTCTTTAGCCTCCTCCTCATTCTCCCCAGATATCTCCTCTAGTGTCCTCCCCTTGGTCTCAGGCACCATGAAAGTGAACAAAAACCCAACAAAATTCACCACTGCAAGCCCAATAATTGCCTTCTTTATCTTTGTAGCATCACCATCTAATGTTTGTGTTTGAACCAAAAACGCACTTAATATAGCCCCTGCTTTCCCTGCTGCGGCTGAGATTCCATGACAAGTAGATCTAAACCTAGCTGGAAAAAGCTCAGCTGGTACAACAAAAGTGGTGCTATTTGGCCCAAAGTTAGCAAAAAAGAAGGTGCATCCATATAGAACGGCAAATAGCTTAGGGTTCCCATTACAAAAGCCCGTTGAGCTAGTCTTGCATTTGTCTCCTCTTAGCTCTTTATATTGAATCCCAACGATTAGCATGAAAATCGACATTAAGAGGAAGCCACCAAGTTGGATCACGAATCGACCTATCTTATCAATTAGGAACACTGTGAACCAATAGCCTGGAACGGTTGCGAAGAGAGCAACAAGGAACATGGATTTTGAGATCTCGTAGACCTCTGTGATTGCATCCATATTGCTAGCTTTGGGCAATAAGCCAATGGCTGGGTAAACATCTTTTTGGGTTAGGTTCGAGCTATAAAAAGCAATATCAAGGAGAAACCAGGTTGTGGAAGTCCCCACAAGGTGCATTCCATGCCTGGAGAGGAATTCTCTTGAAAACAAGCCATAGGTGTTTTGAGTTGAAGCAGCGACTGTTTTCTCGGCAGTTACCTCCATTGCAAGCACCTATTTGTGGAAGGACTTCAGTGAGTGTGAATTCAAAAAGAAGTTTAGCATTTAAATGCATGTGCGCTTATCAACTTGTCACATATATTCATCCATGTATGCAAGTACAATAGTATGCCACCCATGCAACGAAACGACAAGGCCATTGTTGAAGAAGTTGGTGGAGGTAGGTGCATGTTCATCCTTGGTGTACTCTTCCCTAAAGTTAATCCCTTCTGTTCTTTGCTTAGCTTCTTTTACTTTCATATATCATTTTAGGTTGGTGGACATGTTCTTATCATTAAGAGTGACCATTGGTCCTACTCCTTTTTGTTTTCAAGCATACTTATAAATTTGAATTAGGAATGGTACGTTTTGTCACCCATATGATCATGGTAACAGCATGTCACAGGAGGCATCTGGGATGGACGGTGATGGAGGGAGAGTGGGTTCGACCAAGTTCATCACCGACCATCGAACCAGTTGATTAGATGGTGATGACCCCATGACCATATACCATTGCCATGATCATATGAACCAAAGTATCCGTTCCCTGTGAACCAATCTTCAACAGTTCTCGCACCTTTGCCATGTCTGCTGCCGCCTTCTCAGCATCATTCTCAACCAAAGCTGTGAACCTAGCCGTTTCCGGCATCTTTAGCCGCCAGTAATATGTCAGTAAGGCTGGTACTGCCCCAAACATCAGCACAAGCCTCCAAACCATGTCACCTTCTGGCTGAGTCGACAACACATGGTCATTGTTAAACTTTGGAGCAGGATACGCTGCAAGGAATGCCTTGGAAACTGCCATGGATACGGCTCCAGCAGCTAGGATCCCGGCCCCTTGCATGGCGAAAACAGCCGAGATAAAAGCTCCACGTGTCTTTGTGTTTGAGTATTCGGACATGATTGTAGCTGATAGCGGGTAGTCCCCACCAATCCCGAAGCCAAGCCAGAACCTGAAGAGTGGTTCCAAATTTTACAGTGTAAAACCAACTGTGCCAAGCATGTATGTGGGAAATGATAGTACATTCTGACTGCACTTGGATTCGTTCAAGTGCAAATGAGTCGGGTCTGGGTCAAGTCGATAAGACTTTTTAACCTCCAAAACCCACAAGATCAGCCACCCATTAAAATATGAAATGTTCCAGATCTAACTTCAGGAGACATGGATTTGGAGCACTTTTGGTGCTCCAATCAATGTTCAGGAACTCAGCCCAGGGCTCGGGCCTCTGCCCTCGCCCAAGTAGTGTATACAGCAAAAATTTGCTAAAAAAGTATGATAAAAATAGTAAAAATCAACGTAAAAATAGTAAAAATCAAAGTAAATTAAAAACAACCTGAAGAGTCTAAATAAGATGGGATAAAATGTATAAAACATGGATTTAGAAAAACGTGATTTATAGCCAGAAAATTTAGAAAAATCTAAAAAAGAGGAAAAATAAAGGACATGTAATAATAAACGCTCACAAATAATCATAAAAAACATTAATATTATCTATAAAACAGTTATATACTGATTTTTCAATTTAATATTTTATTTTTTTAAAATTTTTATATAACCCCAAGTTTTTGCAAAGTACTAGGCCTGGTTAGAAGCCAAGTTTGAGTAACTTATCCAAGTCCAAGTCCGAGTCGAGTTTTTTCCTGGAGAGAATTTGGAGTTGCGGGGAATCTAGAGTTTTGGAGTTCATTAGGGAACCTGTTTTTATTAAATATTTTGAGCGCGTATCGCATGATCCTTCGGGAACATTTTGTAAATTAACTTCCTCGGGCCAAAAAGCTTCTTTGGAGAATATTTGGATTTGAAGTTTTGGAGTCAGCCAAAGAATCATTGGATGATTATTTCCAAAAAGAAAAATGGATTTTGAGTTCTTCAACTCTTGGATCTTGCTGTCCAAATATTGGATGGTCATCGTGCCATCTTGGACTTCAATTTTTTCAAGAACATAGAATGTGCGATTTGATGTGTTTTTTTTTTTTAGTCGCTAGGTTCAAGATATTACATCCCCAAATATCCTAGCTTGGATTTTACCAAGGGAGCACATAAAGAACATGCTCCCTGGGACTAGCATATCATTTTGGAAAAGTATACAAATATGTTATTTACTTTTTAGTACAAGAAGGTCAAAATCACTTGTCTTTTAAATTTTAGATTTGAGTAGTTGTGAACATGTCATTTACTAGATTGAAAGTTTAAAAAAATTCTCGAACTTTGTAACACTCCAAGCTGTTCAATTTGACATTTAGTGGTTATGAGTAATTGTGATCTCCTTGTGAGAAAGATGAATGGTCTCATCGTATATAACACTTGTTTTTTTCACTTATCTTGCCTGTAAAAACTTGGTCAGTCTCTGTTCAATCTTGAGACATTATCTTTCTCAACTACAAAAAGAGTTCAATTCTGAATTTTTTTTTTGTTGTTGGATGAAAGTTTGTCTACGCATTGAAGACATTATATTCTGAAAACTTTGGATTCTAAAATCACTCTTATATTGGGTTTTATCCAAGGGAGTAATGGACATTATACTCCCGCGAGAGTATAAAATCTTTTGACCTTTTTATTTCTGCTTCAGTTTGCGCCGTTTTTTCCATGGTGGGTCATTCCACTGATCATATGGACCCAACCATTCTATCATGGTCCATATACTACACACTTTTCATGGTATATAATCATAGATTGACCATCCACCGTTGGTTCTCATCTATTGGAGATAGCCGAGATTAATTATTTCTTTGCTTACTAACTTTAAATCTGAACTCACATGTCCAAATCCTCCCACGAGGTTGGACGGTAGATGTCCCCACTACAAGGAGTTTAAAAATCACGAGTCCGAGTTGAGAAGTTCAGAGTTTGTAGGGCTGCCAATGATCCGGGCTAAGCGGGCGGCTAGAATGTGTTGGTTAGGACTGAGTCCTAAACCAGAGCATTGAGATCCGAGCCCCAACCCAGCCCCAAAAAACATTTTCTGGTGGGCCGCGCTATTTTCAAGTATATAGTCATACATTATATAATGGTTAAAATATGTCTAATATAGTTTTACATATTGAAATTTTATTCAAACTCGGGCCTTGACAGCCTGGCCTGTGGCCCTCTGCTATAGCCCGAACCCAGCTTGAAACCAAGCCCAGCCCGTTGCAGACCCTACAAGTTGGACCAATTGGGAGCCAAGTGATTCGAGACCTAAAAGCCCCATGATTGCCTAGGTATCCTGTTTTTTAGGAGACTATTTTTCCTTATTAAAACTAGTGAACTTAGCCAAAAACCTCTTTGTGGAGTGATAGATCAAGCAAAAACCAACGTAGCTCTTGAAATACTACCCTAAGCGTGTATATTGTGTATCGGGTTAATATAGAAAGTATAGATTGTAATATATACTTTCTATATTAACCCGATACACAATATATACTTTCCTTTCACAAGTACCTTTTAAAACTAAAGATCTCCCCTTTTCTGCATAATTAAAATAAAAAATAATTGTACTTGATTTTGGCCAACTCAATTAGGACTTGATAACACACTGGAGTCGTGACCTAAATTCAGCTGGTTCACTTAATGAATTGGCTAAGTTTAGGCTAGGGTCCCAACTCATCTAAATTAGGACTAGCAAGGCACCAGTTTCAGACTTTTCAAGAAACATATCGATCAATTCCCATTCTTTATGATCATGAGTTTTTATAAAACACATTTATATAACATGAAGCTAGACTGGGATCTATATTAACTTGCATGTTCTGTGGACTAGTGTCATCAGAATCGGACCGACCAGCGAACAAGCTTGAGTTCCAGTTTAGTCAAAACCCGTATGATTGTTAGTTAAACTTATTAAACCTATTTTTTAAATAAAGAAAATATCAAAATATGAACTATCTTATAAACAAAGTTGCTCATGCATGTTTAGCTGGTCAAAAGTGGCTAGTCGAACAAGTAAAAACCAATAAAATATTGGTAATGATTGATTTCAATGCAAACCTGATTCTCACTATATGCTAGACGACAATAAACACCTAGTGGTGTTATGACTGGTTAGACCGTCCAATCCATTATGATAGGGACAATGATGGAGAGATAATGGGACTGAAATGTGATAAAAAAAAAGAGAATGGAACCCAATTGGGAATGACCCAACCACGTGGTACGTAACATTGCCAATCCATTGATTGGTTGATGATAAAACCTTGCAAGTTATGTGCAGAAAATAGTACCACAACCGGTCTCGTAGTCTTATAAATCACAATATACCTTGGGATGGTAAACTATTAGACCATTTATTTTTGTTATTAAGATGTCACAATTACTTTTAGCCATCGGATGTGAAATCTAATAGGAAAAAGTATGTTTCAACATTCGAGAGATTTTATTTTAGGCTCTGTATCTAAATAATAGCACCTCCTCAAACACCCAAATTCAAATCTAATAGTCAACGATTAGTGGATTTTTTTGTATAAAAAGTAAATGATCTCCTTATATATATTTTCCATATATTTTTCCCTCAAATTTTGAAAAAAAGATTTAAACTTAACCTGAAGAAGCATAGGCTCGTTATAACGGCCTTAGGTGAGGCCCCAATCGAGAAACCCGACGCAATGGCGCACCCCACCATCGTAACGAGCGTTATGCCATAAACTTTCTTTCTTCCAAGCTTATCGCCGAGCCAACCAAAAAATAACTGGCCAGCTAACGTTCCACAAAGCGCAACGCCCGATACAGCGTTATTGACGTTATCTGGCAGCCTTCCCGGATTCCCAGTCACTGGGTCGTAGTAGTATAAGCGGCCAATGAGTTTTACAACGGCCGTTATACAGAAGAGATCATAGGCATCGGTGAAGAAGCCCATGCCCGCTATAACAATAGCAGTGAAATGATAGAGTTGGGTTTTGGCTTGGTCCAACGCGGTTAGCACCTCCATCGCCATGCCCGAGATTTCGCCGAAATTTTCACCGATGAATGGATTTTTGCGCGGTTCTGGGTTTGATTTTTCTGTTTGTTTTCAAGGGCTTGGTAGTTAAAGTTTCGCCGGAATTTCGGTTACCGTGAAGTTTTGGCTGGTTTCAGGGGTAAAGTTTTGCCGAAATTTCGAAGTTCGAGTCGAAAATTTAGCCTATTTTGGGGGGCAAGGTAAGGCTAGTTTAGGGGAGAGGGATGAAATTTCGCCAGGCATCGGGGGTAAATTTATCGAAGTTTTTGGATATGGAGCTGAAAATTATCTTGGTTTCGAGGGCTTCGGCCGGAATTCAGGTTTGATTTAAGGGATGGGAGCCAAAGACTAGGCTGTTTTCGGGTATTGGGCCCAAAATTTCGCCTGAGTTAAAATTTCACTGGTTTTTTTTTTTTCTAGCTTTCCGAGGCTGGAATTTAGGGCCTATGGTTTTCGTGGGGGCGTTTCCACCATAAATAGGCAAATTTCAGGCGATTTGATGGCTATATATGATTAGGTATGGTCTTTAATAGGGGTGAATGGCATATCAAGATTAATGTAGCCAACCCCAGTTAATTGGAAAAAAGCTTTGACGATGACGATGGTGATGATATTGTGAAGCCGGAAGGATTTGTAGATGTTCAATATTGTGTGGTAATATAAGGATTGGGGTTAGTGGACAAGGAGCATTTGTTTTTCTTGTGAACGACAAGAAAACAAGAACTTTTTTTTCCTTGTGATTTACGACTTGAAGACGAGGTTGGTTATAAATAGAATATTTGGAGTTTGGATGTTTATGTATGGAGTCGTTTGGAGGTGGACGTCCTTTTTAATTTATGTCAAAAGTTTATGTGGTCCCTTGGGAGCATATTTTCATTGCTCTCTCCGGTAAAATATTATTTACGAGTATTGTTTTGGACTCAAATTTGGGGATGAAACCTCCTTTACCTAGCAATCAAACTAGAAAAAAAAAATATCAATGGACCTTTTTTATGAAGCTTTGAGTCCTTGGGCAAAGTGGCATTTCACTCCAGTTCTACATCTATTTTGTCATTTGACAAAAATAACGTTCCACGATTTAAGAGCATCTGTTTAAATTTTGTATTGTTAGTCTAAAGGTTTAGAAACTCAAATCCTTTTTTTTTTAAATAAAACACCTATCTGATGACTTTAAGATGGATCTCAATTTTTCAAATGAAAAAAACACCATTGAGTAGGTCTTTAGCCTGAGCGTGTGTATACTATAGGCTTTTAGAGTACATAATATGCACATCTATTTATGGTTTGCGACTTCTTTTTTACGGTTGCTTCTCCTTATACCTATTCATCTTAAGCTTGAATGTTATCACACTATTTTGTCTGAGAAGGGCGGGGACAGTAAATTTTCCCTAAACTCGCCTCATACTTAAGTAAAGGGATGGTTTATGTTAGGTATGCAGTCGACATAAAACTTATCATGAATCTTGAACCTACAGTATCTGCTTATGTTATGGCATTCCCTAGAAGAGACACGATATATCAGGACCCGAGTACAGTGAGAAATGAACAAGAGTTAGCTAAGGCGTTCTCCAAAAACGACATGCTGTATAAAAACCTAAGTACAAGGAGAAATGAATAAGGGTTAGCTAGGATGTTTTTCAGAAGAGATACACCACATTGCCGCGCGATTGTGGTGAAAAATAGGCAAGGATTCCCACGACATCTTGAACGAGCACGGTTAAAGAAACTAGTCTAGGAGAATAGGATTCGTCTAGCCACATGAAATATAGGAACGTTTACATGTAAGAGTATGGAGTTAGTAGATACACTGAGATGAATGAGGGTAGACATAGCATGTCTATAGGAAACTCAAAAAAAAAGAGAAAAAGCAAAAGAAATAGATCGACTATAAACTTTGATATATAGGAAAGGATAATAGAAATAGCATAGCCATAATAGTGGACAAAGATTTAAAAGATAAAGTAGTTAATGTCAAAAGAATAGGTGATAGGCTCCTATTAATTAAACTTGTACTAATGGCAGAGATAATTAACATACTTAGTGCATAATAATTAACATACTTAGTGCTTATGCACCAGAAATAGGATTAGATGATACAATTAAAATACAAATTTGGGATGACATGGATGGAATAGCGCAAGACATACCAAATGGAGAAAGGACCTTTTTAAGAGGGACTTAAATGGTCATGTAGGGAAGGATAGTAGAGAATATGAAGGGGTATATGGGGATGTGAATGTGGGAAAAGAAATGAGATGGGTGAGACTATTCTATATTTTGCTATGGCCTATGACTTAGCAATAGCAAACACTAGCAATAGCAAACACTTGCTTTAAAAGCCAGATATACTTCTTCCTAGTTACAAAGGTAGATCAACCATCATGTATAAACTGCAAGGTTATCCAAGAGAGAGTTTGATGATCCAACATAGGCTCATAGTTATGGATGACTGCATAAATATATAGAAGAGAAGAACTGAACTTAATCGATGTCCAAGAACTAGGTGATATAATTTAGAAAATGAGAAAATAAACTTATTTAGGGATGAATTAGTTAAAGAATGAAAATAAAAATCTGAACATGAGGCCAATGTTATGTGGAATAAGATGACTGACTATGTTAAGAAAGTAACAAAATAAGTTTTAAAAAAATCCAAAGGGAAAAGAAATTTTGATAAAAAAACTTGTCGGTGGAGTGATGAGGTTTAAAAGACCATTAGCAAATAACAATCATGTTATAAAACTTGACAGTATAATATAAATGCTCAAAACTTAGAAGAATATAAAAATGCTAAGAAAAACACTAAACAAATAATAAGTAAGGTTAAACTTAAGGCATATAATAATCTATACAGTAAATTGGGTACAAGAAAAAGTGAAAAAGATGTCTTCAAATTAGCAAAATGAGAGAGAGAATATGGGGATCTAGACCATATTAAATATATTAAGAGTGATGATCAAAGTGTCTTGGTGAAGGATGAAGAGGCCAACAAAAAGTGGAGATCGTGTTTTAAAAAATTATTAAACGACGAACATAATAGGAGCATAATAGTAAAAGGAATTGTTGGTATAAATGAGAGTGGAGGTCATAGATACATTCGTAAGATTAAGATATCAGAAGTGAAAGAAGCTTTGAAAATAATAAAGATAAGAATATTTTATGACTAGATGATATCCCAATAAAAGTTTAGAAGTGCAGGTGAGATATTTGATTATGACACCAATAGGCGATACGATGAGAGATAGTAGACTTAGATGGGTTGACCATACGTGGCACAGACCCAGTACAACATATGTTAGGAGGTACAAGTTAATTCAAGTGGAAAGCTAAAAATGAGCAAGGAATAAGTTCAAAAGGTTATGGTTGGAGGTAGTGATGAAATATATGGGGGGCCAAATATATAGAGACTTATGGCCTCACTGATGATATGATCCTTAATAGAGCAGACCGGAGGACCAGGATTTGATAGCCAACTCCAATTAATTGGAAAAATGCTTTGATTATAATATTATAAGACTATTTACTTTTGGTGCAAGGAAGTCATAATCATTTTTAGTTGTCAGATGTAAAATCTGAAAACTTCAAGTGTACCATGAGTTTCAATACTTTTCTTTTGACTCTTGGTCCCATCAACGGTATACTCTCAACCGTCCGATTTTGCATTTAATAGCTAAATGTGATGGTCACCTTATTATACCAAATTAACCAATTTACTTAGACCTAGCCCTTGGACTGTTTTTCAGGCCGGTTTGATTTTTCGAACAATGGTTGAGAGAGAGAGGTGATGTAGTAGTTGCTTGTGTCTGTGTACATGAATGGGAGAGAGAGGTTATAGTAGTAGCTTGTATGTGCACGAGAGAACGAGAGAGAGATGTGTAGTAGTAGTTTGTGTGAGGGGGGTGGGGGGTTGATATAGTCCCCTGTGTTTATAGGCATGCATGGGTGTGACAGAGAGATGATGGTAGTAGCTTGAGAGAGCACCAAAGAGAATTTTTTATCTCTAGCAGTTAGTGCAACATTTCCTTGGTCACAATTCTAGGGAATTTTTATTTTTATTTTTATTTTTATTTTTTTTAAGGTGAATCAGTGGCGATATCGGGCCCCTACCCATTTTATTTAAAGAGAGAACAATATGTTACATGAACAATTATTATACAATCCTTGGGAAGGGAATAAAATGAAAGCCGTTACAACGTCTGGGGGCGAGCAATCCACGTTGTTGCTTCATTCATTGAAACCACAGCCTTGACCAAAACATCAACAACGAAGTTGGCCTATTTATAGATCTGTGGGATCTTCCAATGAGTTCCAGCAAAAGATTCAAGCTTACAAGTATAATTATCCACCATTATACGTAATCTCCAAAGAGGTCTCCAGCGATGACTTGGGATCAACAAGAAGCTTGGAGTCACTTTCAATAACAATAGACAGAGTTCCCTTCCTAGTGAGATCTCCTTCTCCAAAGCGTAGAATTCTAGGGGATTTCATTAAAAACACCCCATATTAAATCACTAGGAAGGCATAAAAAGTTTATTCCACTAAATTTTAAAATAAAGAATGAAGAACACAAATGAATGGTTTTGCCTCGAGTTATCAGCTGAAACCTTAATGTTAACATCGAAAACTAAAGAAAGAAAAGATTCGAAATCTCCAAATGCTTTCAGCATATACTCAAAGTCTACTATATATCTTGTTTATCTACTATTTTATTCTCTTCCAATAAAAATACTTGAGTTTTTAGCAAGTGTATAAATCTTGGCTTGTTATAGGACAAAACCCATGCAAAGGTCTCACCACTAAATTTATCCAAGCCCCTAAATTTAGAGGACCTCTCTTGTTAGAGATGGAGAATAATAGGATTGTTGGGCCCGGTTTTGTATTTGCTGGCCTGGTTTTCTTCCTTGTGTGTGGTTTCACTCAAGCTAAAGGTATGGTTCCTTACTTAGCAAAACATAGGGGTGGCCATGGACCCATACCGGACGACTGGACTGGGCCTGACCCGGTCTAGGTATGGGTCCAAAAATTGGATCTAGTGGGTCAGGTCCGGGTCCAAATATTGGACCTGAACACTATTCGGGGCCAAGTTTGGGTCCATGTGATCCGACCCGAATAGGGTTATTATTTAAATAATATTTAATATATAATATTTTAATAATATTTACATGAATATAACCACTTACCCAAAAAAAAAAATGAATATAACCATATATTTTTAATTAGATTTTATTTTTTTTTTTTCTTTGTTTTTGAGTTTGGTCCAATGGGATCTAGGTCCCATAAATTTTTTTCGGATCTGGGTTGTTGCTATCCCAAGCAAAACAAAAGATAAGGTTTCTCGTTCTTTTTGGCTAAACTGAAAGAAAGAGAAAGAAAGAAGAAGAAAATATCACTATTTCAGAAACCGGAATTACGTCTCGACTTGGTAGAGATCTAATGCTGAGCCCCCTTAGTCCGATTCAGGTGAACTCAGGTTAGGTTGGATATATTTTAAAAAATAAATCACTAAAAAATTGAGATTCAGGAAATTCGAGGTTTTTGGGCCTCGAGCTTCCAGCCTCGCAATCCGGTCGGATAAGTGATTTTTAAAACATTGGAAAATGTTTTCATTCTGATCTCTCTCTCTTGCTGCAGATCCCACGGCGAACGCCAACTTAAGCCCCTTTCAGCAGTGGAGAAGTGCATATGATTGCCTCCAAAATGTGACAACTCTCTCTCTCTCTCTCTCTCACTATGAGGGAATTATTTTGTCAAGAAAAGGCACCTAGAAAGCATTGATAAGAAAATCAAAAGATTTAACCAAGTGGGCTACTGGCCCTTTCACTCATTTCTACTCCTACTCCTTTTTCCATTATTATTATTATTATTATTATTTTATTATAATTATTATTACTACTAAACTGAACCTGAGGGTCTCTTCACTAATTTTTTACTTCTCTCCTACTCGTGGTTATTGTTGTTATTGCGAAAAATATTTTTTAGTATTAAAAAAGTCCCTTATTTTTTTCATTTTACGCCAAAGCCCTTCTTTTCGTGAAATTTTTTTCCCCCAAAACTCCCTATTTGGCACTTAAAATGCCAAACTATTTCTGTAAACTAAAAAACGGGTCCATTTTTAAGGGCATGACCATTACTGGAGTGAAAGATGGATTTGATACTTAAACTCTTAAAGTACCGCACCCATTTTTCCCTAAAAATATTAAGTATTATAAATATATTAAGTATTATATGTATTCGGCACTTTAAATGATGAACCCAACTATTTTATTAGTGGGTCAGCGCTTTAAGTGCCCAAAACTTAAAAAGTTCTATGTGGGTTCGAGCTGGTTAATTTTTGAAGCCAAGTTTCCTATTTTAGGGATAGGAAACTAGTTATAATTGAATAATTATCATTTCTTTTTCTTAAAAGAGTTTCCTTGTAGGGTGTGGAATAATGTAGATGGGATGTGGATGTTTTAACTATTGGGTTTTTTTTTAAAACAAAATAAAAAGTTGTGTAGAGAGAAAAAAAATGCATGTTGATTTATAGATAAGAAAGAAAATGCTAAATTTTAAGACAATGGGAATGAAAACTACAACATGATGATTGTGGTAAGGGGTTAGGGTCGTGGTGGGCTACCCCTTTTCCTTTTTACAATTGTTTTTGTGAAATATGGAATAGGTCAGGCGCTTTTAGTGCTGAGCCCATTTTTTACTTGAAAAGCAAAAATTCAATTCAATAAATTGGGAGTATTTTTAGGAAAAGAATTTGACAAAAAGGAATTGGGCCATACATGTATAAAAATATGGGATTGTTCTTTAATTAAAAAATTTAAGGTTTTAATGTTCATTTCTCCCATTATTATCATCGAATGATGACGACGACGTACTGCTAATGTTTAAAGAACCTTCCTACCAAAACGTAGGAGAGGACTCCTGCGTTTCTGATTTATAATGGTCTGTTTGTTATAAAGGGAAATATTCCATTTTGCCCCCCCAGAAAAGGGCAAAAGAGATAAAAAATAGAGAAAATGAAAAAACACAGGAAAAAGAGATTATAATGGAAAAAAGAAGGAAACGTGGTAGTTTTGAGAAATATATTTACTTAATTTTCAGAAAGGGCATTTTTCCTTTTATAAAAGTTGTTTCATCATTTCCATTTGTGCGGGCAATTATTTTCATTCTCAAAATTATTTCATTTGTTGAAATACGATAAAATGTTAAATATTTGAAAAGTAACGTGGATTTTGATCTTTTTATATTTTATATGATATAACAAGTAACACTTTTTTTTTTAATATGTTAATAGTGAGAATGGAGGCAAGACATTATGTTGAGGCATCTACCCCACTAACACTAATAGCCGTGCCCATTTTTTTAAAGGTTATTTCTTATTATTATAGGATTGTATAATAAACAGATCATTTATCTTTTGTATATGGAGGTCACAATTATTCTTACTCATTAGATGTCAAATTGATTGGCTTGGGATGAGTTATGAAGTCCTAGATCTATGTTTTTAGAACTTTATGTCTATTTAATGATATTCTTATAACCCTTTTGAAAAGACAATAGTGATTATGACCTCCATATAAAAATAAATGGTCTCTTCATAGACAATCCTTATTAGAATTATCATCGTTTAATATATAAATTGTCGATAATAGAGGGTGGGACGCTATGTTGAGGCATCTACTTCCCTAACCACCGATGCAACAACCGCACACCCAATAAAAACTAATGTTTATTCCCAAACTCCACTAATGTTTATTCCCAAACTAAAGTTTATTTTTTTTGGCAGACTTCCAATTTATGCCCAGGTATATACGAATTGACTGAAGGAGGCTGGGTTAATGTGAGCAGGAATCAAACGGATGATTACTGCAAAAATGGATGCTTTGATCATACCAAATGGGTGATCACCTGTGTTTATTATTGCAAGCGTGACTATGTGTTTAGAAATGGGGCCACAATCAAGGATATCAACTACACAGTTGCAAATGGATGCCTACATGGTAAGTAGGGCTGTGATGGGCCGCATGGCCCAGCCTGTCTGGCCCCAAAAAAATAAGGGCCCGAGCCACAAAATGGGGCACTTGGGCCCAAACCCCTCATGGTGGAAAATACAGATACAATACTGGGTGATGGCCCACAAATCTTTTTTTTGCCCTGCTATAGAATTTGAAGCTCCAAAATGTGCAAATATGATATATCTTGAAATGGACATTCCTTTGCAGGATAAACCAGTTTTACATATTTTATTTTAGACCAATTGTTGAAGTCAAGGTGATTGATCTGTAGGTTTACTAGCACCAAAACTTCATTTGTTTATGACATATGAAGTGAAGTTTTATAAAGCAGCAGCCCAATAAAATACATCCCCAATCTTGTATCCCTGGCTCCAGCCACCTTTATATGATCTCTTTCATGTTGGGTCAATACCAAATTCGTCCACCATGAAAACGGGTTTCAGAAAAATCAAAGAAAGAATCTATTGTTCCTGCGTAGGAATTCATCTAAGATTTCTAAACCTACTCTTCTCAAAATTGCATGCATGTACCGTGCTCACTCTAATGTTCCCTATGACATGCAGTGAATGACATTTTTTTTTCCCATCTGCAGGTTTCAATGGAACAACATATATAAGCAGCTCAGGAAAGATCCTTTGGAGCAAATCCATGGCATTCATCACCATTGCAGCAACTTGGATTCTCTATAAAAGCATGTAGTGTACCCCAACTCACCCCATTTTCCACTCCCCAAATAAAAAGAAAATCAAACCAGTACATATGAAAAAATATTTACGTGAGAGAGAGACTTGGGAAAAATATGTACATTTTTTCCTGTTTTCCTTTTCCTTGTCCAGACTATTATGTCATCATAAATAGGGGTTATGTTTATGATGGGATGGCTCAAATTTAATGTCCTCTACTCTGATCATATTAGTTAGTCTGCACATGGAGGAGAGCTAAGGCTATACTTACCCAAACAGAGAAGAAATAGGTTTCCAAACTATTTGTGGTATTTACTATGAAGGAAGCTAGGCAAAGCACACATTACACATGTTGCATGGCTAGTGATGTAAGAAATACTTTTTATAGGGTGCACTTTATTTGTAGAAGTAAGGTTTCAATAGTCTATAGTGTATGTTTATTTGGATGTTATAGATTTAACACTATCTTAAAATATGTATTAATGTTTTTATTGTCTTAAATGACCTATCAAATCTACATCATCTAACTAAAATAAATAATGCAGACCATTACAATTTTACTTCTACAAGTAAGATTGCAACCGTGTATATAAACCATACCCTACAATATTCAAATTTTGGAAAGTTTGATGCCATTGGACCCTCGAACGTCCAAACTAATCAATCTTGAGTAGGGGTTCCAGAGTCTTATCTAATATGAGATTATCTATAAAGATACCATTTATCTTTGTTACAAGGAGGACATAAATATTTCTACTCATTGGATGTCAAATTGGATGGTTTGGGGTGACTCATAAAGTCCATGAATTTTTTTTGAGAACTGTGTTAATTTTAATTTAGTGACACTTCTACAACCACTTGTTTTTTAAATTTAAAGTACAAGAATGATTATAAGCTCACTTTACAAGAAGTAAATGGTATCTTTGTAGACAATCTCAAGTAATATTTGCTACCAAAACTACTAATTGATGTCACACTCATAATACCAAGTTTTTCATAAGGCAAAAAAAAGGGTTGCCCCTCAAAAATAACGTTACACAATAATTTTTTTTTAACATGAAATGTTTTTTATTATAAAGTACAAAAAGGTTCACAAACATCCAGATAACAGCCAAGATAAAATAGATCAAATGAACAGCTAAGATTGTATTTCATCTTTGAATTGTAATTTTTTATTACAAGTTGTATTAAAACAAGATTTTAGACATTAACACATCTCGATTAGGCACATCGAAACATATATAGAACTACAGGGCGAAGTTTATATTAAGTGACCATGTTAAATTATTATAACGAAGTACACCTTCAAATTCTGTTGAAAGAAACAAATTGTATTAAAACAAGATTTTAGACATTAACACATCTCGATCAGGCACATCGAAACATATATAAAACGACAGGGCGAAGTTTATATAAAGTGACCATGTTAAATTATTATAACGAAGTACACCTTCAAATTCTGTTGAAAGACGTGATACTGGTGCCCAAACCTTCCAATGACATGAACTTTCAAACCCTGATTTTAAATTTAAAATTCCAAAAAATGATGCCAATCAAACAAATCTATAACCACTTAATTGTTTTTAGGACTTAAAATCTTTTATCCATCGTACCTGGTTAGGATGATCAAGTGGAGAATTTTCAGCATGGAAAGAACCTTTTTCAATGGGTTTTTGCAGTAAACCAAACATCTATTGTATGGAGTTCACGCCATAAACTTTTTTCATAATAATATTGCATAAAAGGTTAATTAACCAAGATAGCATTGAAACAATCAAATAACAACTAAACAAATAACTCCACCTATAATTTAAAGTTTAAAGCTAATATGAATGATGAGGCAGCTCAAGATCATCCCAACCATAGCAATCTCAATCATTGTCGCACCGAGTATCGAACAGGTTGAAGAACAACTCTAACGGTCCATACACATTTAAAACTGAAAAAGTATACAATAAAATCATTTACCTTTTGTATAAGGTGGTCAGAATTAATCTCTCGAACTTTATAATACATCCAATCTATAAATGTGACCTCCTTGTAGAATAGATAAATGGTCTCATTGTATACAATCCTTTGAAATTAGATAACCCAAGCTCTCTCTAATAGGGAAATAGCCACATACACAAGCAATTCAAAGAATCAGTTTTATTAAATGTGGGCATGAGTTCAAGAACTTCCACCCTCAACAATACAAAAGAATATTATTTATTAAAATGTTGTCTTAAGTTGAACTTCTCACATAACCAATTACCTAACTTCTGAGATAGATGAATGAAATTAATGAATGTACAAATTCAAAGAAAGGCCACATCTCTCCTCCCCCCCCCCCCCCCCACGTTGTGGAACAAAAACAGTAGATCATCCACCTCTGGAAAATTCTCTCTGGTCAATAATCACCGTCTATTTTCAAGAAACAGAATCATCCACTATCAGTAACCGAGTAAGGTTTTCGTCTGAGAATCCCAAAACACTTTGGAATGCTTCACCATCTCCGCACGTTCTAAATGTAGCCGCTCCTTCCAATATTCCTTGCACCTGATGAATATGGAGTTTTATCAGCAAAACTAGATTTGAGGCACCATAAATAGAGTAGTCATAAGGGAAAACATAGTGTGGATCCATAGTAACAGCAATGACCATCTGATTTATCACCATCCACTTAATGGGTTGGGCGTGATGAAGGGGGATAGGGACACAATCCCAATTGATGACATGTTTGCTGGGACCCACTCCTCTTCATCACCATCCAAGCCAATGATGGGATGGTGATAACCTCATGGTCATATTTTTAGGATAACAATATGGACCATATTCCATTGACCCTAACCGCAATGCTTGATCTGTATTCCATAAAACGCTAGGATATGGGGAAAGATAAAATGAGAGATTGAAGAAACCTCGTTTTTATAAGCAGGTCCAGCTCTGACATGTGCACAGAATCCTCATATACCCCAGACTGCACACCAGAAATAGTCGGCAAAATATTAAACCAGCACTCTAGTTTCAGATAAAGAAAGCCTAACACTAACACGCAATAGAGAGAGAGAGAGAGAGAGAGAGAGAGAGAGAGAGAGAGAGAGTCATACGACAACTACTAGTCGTACAACTAATAAGTAACGGTAAACGTAGGTACGGGTAACGTACTACTAGTAACTAAATAAATAAAGTAAAAGTAAATTAAGTTAAT